GCTCGCGGCTCACCAAGCCTTCCATCACCCGGCGTCGGCAAATTAGTACCCGACTTGCCTGGGAGGTTAGGAGCACTGACTCGATACGTCGCTAGACCAGCAGGAGTCTTTGCAAAGGCCAGATATGCATTCAGTCGCCTCCAAACGATGCTTAATGAAATAGAATGCATGGCGCATCCGTAAGGGACTGATCAGCACAGAAAACTTTTCCTTTATCCTTTTTACCACATAAACACATAATCGCTTTTTATATGGAACAAACAGTCGACAGCGAACAGTCGGAAAACTTTACTATTCTTCTATCATGGAGTCGTCGACCAAGATTAACGGAAGTTCGTAAGAACCCATGAACTTAGAAAACTTTAGTTAACTATGTAGAAGGATGGCATATCTGAAATATAAGTAAGAAAGATTTATAAAGACTGTTGAAAGGAACTCCACTCGCAGCAGCACGGCTCTGAGGACGGCGAAATCGCCGAAACGTCATCCATCGAGCAACAACAAGAACAACAACGACATCTTTCACCAACCTCGTATCAGCTCAACTAGGGCAGTTCGTAAAAATATATAAATAAATATATCGAGTATTTATGCCGATGTTTGTAGAAAGTTGCTCTTTTGAGTTACAGTTTTCAATAGTTAGTAGCTTTCTTGACAACAACATATCACATTGTCCTCCGTAGCTCCATCTTCCTTATGTCCATTCTGGAGTGTTAGTCGACCAAAAGCGATTCTCAACGCCAGAAACTTCAGTAGTCAAACCGGAAAACTAGGATGCAAAGTAAAAAAACATAATGATGGAACAAAAAGGTCGAAAAATCGGATAAGGTATTGAAGTAACGCAAAAAACTTCTACAAAGCAAATTATTGCTTCGACGCTGGAGATACTTCCTTCACAACAATGTCTTCAGAAGCGTCACCATCACTCACCAGCAGGAGTTAGTAGAATTCTAAATCGAGTTCTTCAATTACAGCTGTACTTGGACTCTGTAGAATTGAACCGTCGACCAACCCGGACCGCAGGTGTCTGCGGTGGGGAACTAACGCGCCATTGTCGTTTAACTGGGTTCAATGCCGATTTGAGCGCCCAGATCAATCCCGTTGACGCGTGATTGCTGATGGTAAAAGATCGATAGAACTAGCTGAGAGACAGGCGAAACGAAGGACCCGCATGGTGCGGTGGTGAACGCGTTGCACCCTGGAAAGGACAATAACGCGTTCGTTCCCCACTGCAGACACCTGCGGTCCGGAGTTTTGTAAATATCTCATCATTATAAAAGTTATATTTCGCAAAATGCCCTGCCGTTAGAAAGAATAGGCAGTAAATAAAAAGGCTAAGAATATGTACAGCGTTTCCAAGGATGACTACTACTAATTATTTTGCTCTATTCATGAGTTTGTACAAGGTAGATGAAAACACTGTTGACACCGGACTCGAATCATTGCGGCTCTGGGGAACCGAAATGCACGGAAACGTTAACCACAATAAACATTTCGTTTCTATTTCGTTCAAGCACGTGAATACAAGGAATATTGATTACTCACGCCTAAGTTAAGTGAAAGTGGGTCTTCAAATATATTACCGCTCATTTCGCCCATATACTAAGAACAATAATAACATAGCTTTGATTGAAAGCAGAGGTAAACTACTAAAGGCAATGAAAGCGAAGGTGGAAAACGGTTTACGTTTATATTCTGAAACGATATGAAATGTTGTTAGATGCCTCACTAGGAATAGAAAAAACACAGGGCCCTTAGACACACGCACGGAAAAGAAAGTGATGTGTGTAGCATAGTGATTAGAGCCACGCTACCATACGCATCTTGCTGCTCCTTGCTGGATCTTGCCCCCTGGCCTCACCAAGCCTTCCATCCCTCCGGCCTCCGTAAATTGGTACAATACTTGTCTGCGGCTGGCTCGACACAACGGTAGGCCACCATGAGTCATTGTAAATGCCCGAAGTACGTTCATCAACTCCAAAAATACTTAATGTACTCGAATGCATGGTGCACCCTCATGGCTTGATCAACGCTGGGAGCTTTATCATTTTTTATCTAAAAAAGCAAAAAATGTTATTAGCTCACCGAAAACAATTTGATAAAGTCCAACTACAAAGTCTTACAACGCAGAGCCAACGTATAGCAACTAGAAACTAGAACAATAAAGCAAATGGTAACTATAAAATGCAAAACATTCAATTTCTATAAGTATATTGATTCCTCAAACCCTCTAGTTTTTAGTCAACGAATGAATTATTGGGAATTTTAGATAGAACGACTTTAAACCTTATGTGACCGATAGAAAAATTACGGAACCCATTATATGGCGCACACAGTGTTCAATTTTCAAACAGCAACCCGTTATTTCACATGGCATTAATACTACAATGGATCACTCACGGTGCTTGGGATGCATAAATGTCGTACCAGTAGAAAAATTGAGACGTGAACTGTGATTTGCTAATAAAAAAACGTCGAATATGGGCAATAAAGAGGTCGCATTGTAATACATTGTGATGAAGAGTATATCTCACTCGGTTACTTCGACGGCCCATTCTCACTGGTCGTGCGTGCCCCAGCATATTCTCCATTTGTCGAAGTTTTGCTGGTTTAGCCATTGTGTTTCTTTGGAGTACAGAGGTCAGCTTGGCCAAAGTCTGCCCCAGGTCTTCACTACCATAGGCAGACGCCGTGCCTGTGGATCAGAGGGAGGTTTACCACCATGCGACTACTTTGATACCAGGACAGTGGTGGATCGTGGTATTGCTTTATTCTTAGCTGAGCTTCTTGACGGCAACGCCTTCACAATACACCCGACTACAGTCAAGAAATGCAGCAAGCTCACTTCAAAAAATAAAGATGCTAAAATATTTGCAAAACTCCGGACCACAAGTGTCTGCGGTGGAGAACGAACGCGCTATTGTCCTTTTCGGAGAGCAATGGGTTCACCACCACACCATGCGGATCCTTCGTTTCGCCTGTCTCTCAGCTAGTTCTATCGATCATCAGCATCACCAATTACCCCTCAACGGGATTGATCTAGGGAACTCAAATCGGCAACGAACCCAGTTAAGCCGAGACTATAGTTGAATGTTAACTTTTTATTTACCAAGATTTATTATTTGCTAAGAACAAAGCCTCTTAAGCCTTAAGCCTTCTAGCTTGACAAAAAAGTGTGGCGTAGTGTCAATAAATCTGCGTTGTGGCAGGTAATGATTAGCGACGCGATGACGCGTGGACGAGTTTAGCTGTTTTGTTCAGCCTGACAAAAATTTGCGCATATTCCACTGGGCCAGCTACTGTCCGAAGCGTTGAAGAAGTTAACCAATCAAATATGGCGCAAATGTGGGTAATGTCGAACGATCAGTTTTATTCATCTATCCATACATACCTTCAAGCCCTAAGGATTTAGCAACCTATGAAGCAATGAACCAGGCTTAAGTATAAATTGAAGGCCTTCTTCGAGAACATATCCGCTATATTCTGTGAAGTGTTGAAATATCAAGAGAGGAGTGCCATCTGTCTACGAAGAGCCGTAACACTAGTTAGTTTCGAATCTCAGTGACTCACAATTTCCAGCTACAAATGGAATTGCTCAATACCCAGGTGCTCTATTGCAGAACCTAAGGATCTAAATGTTCCATTAGGTAGGTTTGGAAATTATTACAAAGTTTGGGACAAAGAATGAAACCCTATGCATTGATTAATCACTGTGGCAGTCGCTGTGCTTTCGACTTCACCAAGCATGGTGAAAAAATGCAAATTTGAAATATGCAATGACTTTCGATGGCCCACAAACTTAACAGTTCAGTGCAGCTATCCACCCAGCAGAGTCTGGTAGTAAGTTGCAGACAACGAAGGGCACGAGGCTGGTGAGCTCAGGACACCGGATCGAACCAGCGGCAGATCCCATGTGTATGGCAGGACACCTCTAACCATAGTGTTGCACGTGTCTCATGTTAACTATGAACTAAACGAAAAGTCTATTTTTGTAGGAAAATTCTTCTGAGCCATTCTTACGAAAATCAGCAACTTTTCCTCAATGATATAACAACTTTATTATTTCAAATTCACATTATTTTTCTTATGTGCACATCCCTCTGTACAATTTGCAACTTTTGAAGAACGTTTAGAATTGATCCGGTTAAAATATAGAGAATATAAGCAAGCGATTCAATAGAAATATCATGGAGAGAAAATCTTTGGAAATAAGAAGCATTAAAACGAAGAAATCACTTTAAAAAATGTTATCTCTTTTATTTACGGTCAACCAAAATTTTTCATGGCAGAGCATCATGTGCGGTACGGCCACAATGATGCTAAGATAATTGCAAAACTCCGGACCACAGGTGTACACAGTGAGAAACGAAAAGGCTATTACCCTTTCCGGGGGCTAACGCGTTCACCACTGCACCATGCGAATCCTTCTTTTCGGCTGTCTCTCACCTAGTTTCTATGGATCAGTGATCATGTGATACAATAGCACATATAATATTCTGCCGAAAAAAATTTGATAGGCAATAAATAAAAAGTTAACGTTGTGATTTCGACTACAGCGTCAACTTAACTGCGTTCATTGTCGATTTGGGCTCGCCAGATCAATCCCGTTGACGGATGATTGCTTATGCCACTGGTCGATTGAAAACTAGCTGAAAGCTTAGGCGAAGCAAAGGATCCGTGTGGTGTGGCGGTGTACTCGTTCTCGCTCTTGAAGGGCAATAGCATGTTCGTTCTCCACCACAAACATCTACGGTCCAGAGTTTTGCAAATATCTCAGAATTACTGTGGTTGTGTCAGACATTAAAAAACTTTACATGGTACCTTGTCGTATTTACAACAAAACTGTAACAAATAGGCACAAAACAAATAAAATTGCCCAACGCAGTTTATTCTGTTATCGCTATATCACACTAGCTATTAACTTGGTCTTATAGCTCATTTTTTTTTCAGAAACGTGTCTTATTTTTTTTATCGCATTGCATTGTTTTATTAGTGTAAAGATGCAGACTCGTCTACGTTGTGGCAACTATTCGTCGTCAGCCACCGTCACACCAGAACTTCATTGGAACTCCGGCATTCTAGTGACGTGGGACCTGATCTCGTCAGATCCCGTTTGTTCAGACCCCTCTCGTCTTCCACGTTTCTCCCATCTTCGACTCCATGACGTTTCAGTCATCGCCAGTTGTAACGACTGCCCAAAGTGAGTGCTCTTTGTCAAGTCGTTCGCGCTGTATTTCGACTGTACATATCCTATGTTACTACGCAGTTTTTCGTCTAACTGATTATAATGTTATCATTTTTTATTTACTGCTTATTCTTTTGTGGCAGAGTATGATGTGAGATATAGCCGCTATGACGCTGAGATATTTGCAAAACTCCAGACCGGAGGTATTTGCGGTGTGAGTCAAACACGCGATTACCCTTTCTGAGGGCTAACACATTCACCACCGCACCATGTGGGTTCATCGTTACCTCTTTCTCTCAGCCATGCTTTTAATTTATACTACACCTTCACCTTGTATTTGAGTCTTCGATAAAAGACATGTCATGCAGGCAAGAAAGGTACGAAGTCATCGAAGTGGCCGGAACGCGATGACGCCACCCATTTAACGCCATGTATGACACCGGAGGTGAACTCTTTCTCGAAACATGCACAATAGAGGAGACTGCTGCGTTGGAGTTCTCGTCAACACGAGTTTGTTCATGAACATCGATTCATTCAACAATTAACAACCCAAATCGGACTTTTGCGATTGAAGAGAGGTGGATCAACACCGGCTTTGACTATCTTCGTCGGTTACGCGAAAACATCAAACTACGACGAAAAAAAAGTCGAAGCGTTCTATATGGACTTAGAGACGTTCTACAGGGAAGATCATACATTTTCCAAGGTTGTCATAGGAAAATTTAACGCTGAGACTGGATCCAGAACGACGTCCAAAAAATGTGATAATGGTAGTCACAGATTAAAACTGAAGAGACAGGGTGAAAGGCTGTATGAATTTATTGTGAGGACTAAGACCATTCATGGTAACTCGCAGTTCCACAAGCCCAACTATCAACGCTGGACGTGGGAGCCTCTCAATGGAGCGCACCATAACGAAATAGACCACATTATAATAAACCGATGGTTTTGTTTAACCAATGTCATTGTTGTCCCAAATTTCTAACGCGGATAGGCTATCGCGAGAGTCTCTCGTTGAGCATCACATTTTTCCAATAAGGCTTTCGCGAAGAACTCTGATCATCAGCTTGGTGCTATTCCTGCAGTGCTTTTGACATCCCAAGGAACCCAATTACTAACGGCTCTTGTCTGTCGGTTGTCATTCATACGCATTACGTGTCCGGCCCACCTCATATTCGACTGTTTGGCGTACAGAACGGTATCTTTGATTTTTGATTGATGACGCAGGTCGGAGCTTCAGATTCCTTCCCTTACTTGTGTGGGGCGGGATACCCTAAACATCGTCCTCTCGACAGCGCGTTCGATAACGCTGAGTAACCTTTCATCCTGCTTAGGCAGCGACCAGGTTTCTAACGCATACGTTAACGAAAGAAGTGTCGTTGAGTTGAAAACGTTGGCACGGAATCGGGTGTTCTTTTTTTTCCTCACTACATCCTCGATTCGCTTGATAGCTCCCAAGGCGTTCGTTTCCTTCTGCTTAACTTTGGAACTAAGTCGTTCATCATGTTGGTCTCCCGACCCAGATAGACATAACTGGAGCTTTCTGAGATAATCATTCCGTTGAGCCTGAATGGAGCATACGAAACGAATCCGTCGCTCATGAACATCGTTTCTGTGAGATTAAGTCGACGACCATTCTTTCCACAAGATCTGTCAAAGTCGACAAGCAAACGTTTCGCTTGGCTAATGTTCGGTGTCATCAGCAAAGCAAAGGTGGTGTAATTTCCGCCCATCGATTTTCACTCTCATATCATTCCATTCTAATATTCGCATATCGTCCTCGAGGGTGGCGCTAAACAATTTCGGTGGGGGTGGTATCGCCTTGACTAATCCCTCTTCTTATGTCAATGCTAATATCTTTGCAGAATGGTGATATCTTGGTTATGAAATTTTTATACAGCTCACGAAGAATCCTTATGTACTGAGTAGGGACTCCTTGACTATCAAGGGCATCCGTGACTGCTTCTATCTTAATTGAATCAAAGGCCTTCTGTAAATCGATGAAAGTGAGACAGGGCGGTCTTTTGTACTCTCGCGATACTTCAGTGAGCCTTGTTATCGTGTGTATGTGGTTCATCCTACTAAATCCTTTTCGAAACACTGTTTGCTCACATGGCTGTCATTCGCTCAGTGTTCTGTCAATCCTGTTTAGAGTGACTCGAGTGAAAAGTTTGTAGGCGACAGAGAGAAAGCAATTGGGCAATAATGGTTGCCGATATCGTGTAGGTCACCCTTTTAAACTATAACACGATCTTGCTGGTCTTCCATTGAGTAGGGACCTTGCATTCAGACAGGTAACGTGTGAAGAGCCGTACCAGTGTGTTTACGAGGATTGACGAAAGGTTCTTCAGGTGTTGTGATCTTATTCTGTTCGGACTTGGTGCTGTTCGATTTTTCACCGAAGAAGTGGGATGTTGGAATTCGGAAGAGAGAACCGATGGTTCAACATATTCATCCTACTTTATTTCATATGACGGAAGGTGTACGTGGCTATCGAAGAGATCTGAGTAGTATTCGTGAATGTTTTTTCTCCATTGCCTTTCTGGACGTTGTAACTGTTCCGTCTGGGCGTTGGAGTGCAATCATTTTGGTCTCGTAATTGCCGATGCATCGGTGGGTTTTGCGAATGCCTTTCCCAGCTTCTGCAACCTCGACCATACCTGGTGCTCTTCTCTCTATAAGATCTTCTTTCATCGCCTATCTGCATTGTTTTCCAAGGAAATAAGACCAGTACTCTCCATTGGGAGACTCTTGTCCAACGTTGAGGATGAGGCATCCGGTGTTGCTACTTACCATGAATGGTCCTAATCCTCACAATAAATTCAGACAGCCGCTCATCCTGCTCGAATCATCCTAATCCGTTGCTCCCAATGTGACGTTCTTCAAACCCTCTTCTTGGTCCAGTCTTGCCGTTGAAATCTACAATGATGACCATGAAGAATGTATGGTATTCTCTGTAGAACTTCTCCAACTCCATATAGAACGCCTCAACTTCTTCTTCGTCATAGTTTACTGTCGCCGCATACATTGTCAACGCCGGTACTGATCCACATTTTTTAGTCGTGAACGTCCGATTCGTTGTCAGTTGTTCGAATGAATCGATGTTCATGGGCATACTCGTGTTAACGAGAACGCCGACGCCGTCGAATGCTCTGGTGTCGCGTGTTCCGAGGAACAGTTCTTCTCCGGTGTCATATAGGGCGTTGAATGGGTGGCGTAGTCCCGTCTTGCCCATGTCGTGCCTTATTTTTATTCCTTGCATGATCAAGACTTCTATCGAGGACTTGGAAGGGAGTTTACCAGCATTGTAGCTACAACTTGTCACTTTAGTTCTTTGCAATTTATGCAGCTTTAATGGCCCTGAGATTTTAGCAGCGCCTCCGTTCTCGTCCGTTCTCGTACAACGCTGCCGAATCGAAGACCTTTTCGGGCTCAGGGAAATGAAGGCTGCTTCTTTTACCGTGTTTAGTTCTTGGATACCCATGTATAGCTTGCTCAGATGTGAGCATAAGAGCTGGGTATACTCACAGGTAGCTCACCAGTCTCTGCCAGAGTAAACATAAAGCTTGTTTGTTGGAGGCGACTCTTAATCACCTTTTTTGTAGGCGATTCTTAACAGCCTCCTATATTCTTCCCTTTCACTTGATTGCAGGTTTTTGGCCGAATTGACTCAGAATACAATCTGCATAAACCAGAACGCACCCGCACACGCGCACATGAACGCTCTTCGCAAATACAGAAAGTATGTGTCGAATTGGTGGGCCTTGAAACAAGTCAAATTGAAACAAGGAGGCCATTCTCTGGATCCGCCTGCGTCTCATGGAAGCCATAGTCGCTTTTGGTCTGCGATTAACCCCTATTCGCTACCTGTGTACGCGCCACCTAGCCTCGCGAATAACCGGCTCGAGATCTCTCATATGTAGGAGATCCGTGGAAAAGTTGAAAAACTCTTTAGTATCGAAAAACCGGAAAGTAGTTTCACCTCTCTGCCAAGTGATGGGGTGTCTATTGGATTTCGCACCACTAAAGATTTTTTGAAGCGCCTTATCTGAGTGATAGTATAGCAGAACTCATTGGGCAAAAAATTCAATAATTCTAAACTTATAAGGAATGTCTTTCCAAGGAGGTTTTGGCGAACCAGTTAGACCATTTTCCATAGCACGATTTGAACAGAGTAAGATCAGAAATGGTAGCACTATTGGAACAGAAGATTGAGAAAATCTAATACGGATATGGGGGGGGGGTTACTTCGTTCCATTACCTTTCAGTGTCTTTGCTTTAATGAAAACCTTGAACTGGTGAAGGCACAGTTTGCTACCTTTGCTAGTAAAACCGATTTCTGAATTATCAACGAACTGGAAAACCGCAGAAGATATAGGGTAATGGACTTCGCTTTTTTTAATCGCAGTTCTTCTTCTACTGATCGATTTCCCAATGTGATGTTTACTTAATATCACAACAGAGATCTTCAAATTTATTCAGTCTAAAAGTTAGTGAAATCCGCTTAGCCGAAAAATGAAGAGTGCTTTCCTTTTCACTTTGAACTATTCCTAACACTTATTTCAGATGCACACTACGTCTTCCGATGCGATTCGAATGGCCTCTTGGCTTATCAATCAATACCGTGTTCATAGTGACACGACAACATCCGTACAACCACGTGAAAACAGATATGGACATCCGCTATGTAGTTGTCGAGAAGTTGCCAACATCACTGAGAAATTGTGAGATTGTAGTGAAAGAAAAACAACAGTTCAACAAACTGTTTACTTATGCTAACATGGTGCTGTTCCTCCTCGTATTTCTATCCGTGATTGTATGCGTTTTTTGTTCAAGATGGATTTGCTCGAAGATCTACTAAGAACTACGGTTGTGCTCATGGCCATAATCTAAACACTATGCTTCCATAGCTATTGATCATGCTACAGATGCTTCCTAGAAGCCAACAATTGTCACCACCTTATTCAACCCTCTCTCTTTGTCGACATAGTTTTCATAATGACATATATTCTCTGAGTTCAGTGGCAATTGATCGGAGACCGGTACACCTAACTCAAGGTATGCACAGGGAGCACTTTAGCCAGATGTGATAAATTTCAATCACAACCGACCAAAGCTCTTCTGTATGCCGGTCTTGATAAGCTAACTTGTGGCCGTGGTGGTATTAAGAAATTCTGTTGCAGCTGACGCTTCGGCGATGTCGCCGTTGTCAGAAAACTCACTTTTAGGACCATACTGCGTTAATTAAAATCTTTTACATGTACCGAGAGACTTAACCATACCATACTGCTTAAACGTATTAAGGTATGTACTCTTTCTTTGATGAGCTTACACGAGGTTGATAATGATATTTATTTTCGGCTAACGTTTCGACGTCTTCGTCTTCTTCAGAGCCGATGGTCCGAGTCAATGGTCGACGCTTGTTATCCTTCTCGACGCGGCAGCTTCGCCTTCGTGTCGAGTCAGGTCTTCCTTAGTGAGTCATCTCCTTGAATGAGGCATCCTCACTCATTGATGTCCCTTATGCAGGTTGCTGATGGTCGATAGCTGTGATTGTCCGGTGATAGCGTGATAATAACTTGTTTTTCCCGGACAATCAAACTTGCAAAAGTCGATGTTATTATCACCTAACACAAAGCGTAGTGAAAAGAAAAGGGCATCACCGGCCCGCTGAGGAAGACCTGACTCGACACGAAGGCGAAGCTGCCACGTCGAGATGAATAGCAAGCGTGGACCATGGACTCGGATAACCGACTCTGAGAAAGGCGAAGACGTCGAAACGTTAGCCGAAAATAAATATCATTATCAACCTCGTGTAAGCTCATCAAAGAAAGAACACATATCGATTAGTGATACCGAGGTTCAAGGAAAGTCGGTTTCGAAATATTAAGGTATAGTCGTCTGGGGATATCGCGATGTTTAAGGTACCCTTGTCTAGAAAACTACCATCTATTCTTTTTTTTATGACAGTATTCGTAAGTAGTACGATATCACCGGTTCACTTGATCATGTTACAGTGTGTGTCAGCATTTGCTGCCTATTCAACATTTGGGCGATATGATTAAATTGTAATAAAGATTAAGCAAATAGATCGATTGTCAGCTTTTAATGGTGCCCTGTTCGTTTGTGATTTCACGGCAACGCTGTCATTTCATTTAAAAATCAGTGTTGCTATTTCAATTACTTGATACTTGATACTTGAATGCCCCTCAATGATTGGGTGGGCCCCAGCATAATCTCCATTTTTGGGAGATTTCCTATTTAAGCCATTGTGGCTTCTTCAATCCCGAGGTCACTCTGGTGAAAGGCTGCCCCAGGTCTTCACCACCACAGGCAGTCGCAGCCCTTGTGGATCGGAGGGAGGTTTGCCACCATGCGACTTTGATACCAGGACGGTGGTGGATCCTGAAATTGGTTTACTCTTAGCTAAGCTTCCTGATGGAAACACCGGACTCCTTCTCAGCTTGGGAGACCATGCCAGGGATGAATCCTCCGTTGTAAATCGCAGTCCGACACCCAGCAACACCTCCTAGCCACGATGAAGCGGTAAATGGTTGGAAGGGTCGTGTCAATAAATTTGATTTAGACAATAAAATGCTACTGTTTAGACAACACGAGCAAAGACTTTTGTTGGAAATAAAAGAGAAGAAAATTTGCTACTGAAATCATCTATAATTCATATCTTTTCGTAGACTATCTATCTTCTCTCCTCTCAACGACGAGAATTATGTACAAAGATGGTGTAACGCAGTGTGCAGGCGTTATACTCGTCACTGAGTCATCACCCAAGGCCGCCCATTAGTTACTAATTTGTTTTATTTACATGACCACACTTTTCATATTTTGCAGATTTTAGCAATCTGTGTTCGCTCGCCATTTTGCGGTTTTGTCTTCGCGAATTTTGTCATCTAGCTAAGCTGATTCTTCTTGGAACCTTCGTACGGCATATCAGAGTGTCTTCATGTCTTCATCAATGGCTTCGCGGGCCGTTGTCGATCGGAAATAGCTTTTTCAGCCAATTTTGGCTTGTCAATGCTTTAGGGCTGGAAGGTTTGTTGACCGAGGCAGGGTTGAACCAGCGGAAATAGGTTCATAACATGGAATCTCTAGCCTACGCGGTCTCGGATTCTGACTTCAGCATAAAATTTGATAACGCAGAAAGAAAAAGGTTTGTGGAGAATATTCTCATCTTTCATTTTGTTTAATACACGTGTTAGCTGCACCCGATAATGTTACATAGTGATCAATTCTAATGAAAATCGGTACTGTGAAATACCTTGCTAATATGCTCACTTAGTTACTACCTATAGCGCGCTTTTCAATGATATTTCTATACAGTGCAATGGCAGTAGTTTATTGGAAGGCAATTCCGTATTATCGTCGATGCCACGTTACTCCCTTTATTGTTTTAGAGTTGAAAGAAGGTAGGCTTGTCTCATTTCTCAACTGCATGCTATATCGAATGTTTCAATTCCACTATATCCTTGTCCTATTTCTCAGGTGCCTTAAAAGCCTTCTGTTGTGTGATTATTAAATGTTGTGATCGGTTCCAGTCATTAAATTATGGTTTTCGCCAAATTGCAGATGAACTTTAGCATCTGCAATCTCAGTAGTTGTCGAACAACCCGATCAGGCCCTAAGCTCCTACTAGCCTCTGCTGGGCTTCACGCTTACCTAGTGGACTATGTAATGTTAAGTTAGACGACCAGTTTAACAAATGTGGTTAAATCATTTATTTTGACTTTTTTTGGAAGATATGGTGTTCTCTGCAGTCTACCGACATACTAGAGGTTAAGCGTTTCTTCATGTGGTGGAAGAATTGTCGATGCACGTCGTGGTTCGACATCCAGGAGCGCCGTCCTAACATAAAGAGGCAGTGAATCATTAGGATATTGAGAACCATATCTACACCTAAGTCAAACACTTAGTCACTTAAATAAACGTTCGTTCTTAAATAATCATTCGTTTTATTATTGTGCAACTACTACATATAAAGGCGGTCGAACTCGCATCTGGTTTTCGCAGCAACTTGTTGCTGTTGCTCTTTTATCTTGTCTTGTATTTTGAATGCTGATCAAGCGTGATTTCTCTTGGAAGTCCAAAAAGTTGAACGTGCTGCTACTCCGTCACGTCATAAAGTCACCACATGCAAGTCTTTGTATAGTGGAGTGAATTTGCTACCTTTCGATTCGGATTGCTTCAAGATGAAAGGGATTTTTGTGATGGCAGTGAATACTGCGATTAGTCGACTGAGCGCAAGGTGGCGATTAATTGATCCGAATACAATGAAAGAAGAAGAAGTGAAATTCCACCATCTCACTATTATCTGTGAAATTTGCTGAAGAAGGCAACCGAATAACTACGCGAGTAAAATGATCGCTACCTGGTAAAACTAAAATTTGTAGGCAGTTGCGTTGGTGCACAAAAAATGTAAATGTTGAGTAAACCTTTATTACTGTAAAATGTTGAAAACGAGAGGATGAGTTCGGAAAATTCTAAAACATGTCTAATTCGAGCTATATAGTGACGTTTTGTTGCCTTTCTAATTATTTGAAGAATCGTCGCGAAGTACACGTCTTGCACAAAAATCCGGGTTACTTGATGACGCGTGCCGCTCGCAATGGTCCGAAGTCAAAGCTCATCCGTTCTCGTGACCAGGCTGAGCAAACAAAGACAGATATTTGTGGATGAGGCAAATTTTCACTTAACTAATTTTAGTGAAGAGGAAGTTATATTAAAACGAGCTTTCTACCACAGTGTATTAGCATTTTAAAAAAGTAATCGGAATGAAATAAATTTGCACAAAACAAATAAAAATAAAAAATAACTAATATATGTCTAAAATGTTTTGAATTAATAGTGATTAAAAAATAGTGATTATTCGGCAGATTTTACTTTTTTTATCAACCTCCTGTCTGCTTAGGCCGTGTGTGGCGGTGTGGCGTAGTGGTCGGAGGCGCCCTGCAGCGCACACGTGGAACTGATTCCGCCTCATGGCCACCAAACCTTCCCTCTCTCCGGGGTCGGTAAAGGAGTACCAGACTCGTCTGGGAAGTAGCCGCACTGGCTCAAAGCATCGGTAAGCCACCGCGAGTCATAATAAAGGTCAAATATGCATTCAACTACCTCCAAACGATAATTAATGAAGTCGAATGCATGGCGCATCCCCTAAGGATTGATCAACGTCGAGAGCTTTATTTTTTTATCTTTTATGTCTGATTAATGGTCGAAGAAGGTGTTTAACTGATCGGCTTTTGCACGGACCTCTTCTGAAGTACACAGTATAAAAAGTGTAGCCTTGCTGACTATAGAAAGTAAATGCTATGTGTAACAGATCTAAATTTATTTCATTATTTATTTCTGCTTACGTGGGAGCAGAAATAGTTATATAAAAAAGAAGGCTTTCTTAAAAAGTTTTCTACAAGTTAAAGAAAAAATCAAAAGTACCTCGTTGCTTATTCATGCGTACCTTTACGGCGCTCCTGGCTCCTTAAAAAGAATTTTATGGTCATTTAAGTTTCATTGACAAAGTACTATGATGCTACAGCATCTTGATAATTTAATGCCTTTCAATAATTTTCGTTTCGTATCCAGCTGTGACATACAACAACGAGATCACCTCCTATGCAGAGTCGTTTTTGCCGAGAAGAACTTCTGTCCCTTGTCCTTGTACTTTTCTGTCCGATCAGTCAACGAAAAGCAAATCATTTCTAGGAATTCCTAGTGTCTGTTAAAACCTAGTCGCAAAACGCCAACTCTTCATTAGATGTAAAGGACTTGGTAATAATTTGTGTTAAAGACTTGGAAATCGATTTGCTCGACACTAACTGCTTCCAGATGCCAAAAAGTTTTCGTAATGAAGGAAATACCACTCGAATGAAAACTATGGTAGT